ATATTAAGACTCTTCTTTAAGCAGATAGGTTGACAGTTCTACAACCAGATAGTTCGTATCAGGCCCTTTTTGATTAAATAGATATAAGAAATTTGTCGAAACTGCAGTGCATTGATCTATTTTTAGTTTTGGTCTTTATAATCTTAAATTAAAAACTAAATGGTGTATATAAAGGTTAAGGACATTAAGATTCTTCCATCCAAAGGGATCCAAAGGTCTGTAAAACCCTCTACCAGCACGTGTGTGTTTGTGTGTGTTTGTGTATGTGTGTGTGTGTGCGTGTGTGTATGTACTACTGTGTAAGACTTGGGAAACAGGAGTAAGAAAGTGTGTCTGGCCCTACAGGGTTCTGTCTCCTGGGGAACACAAATGTGTAAATTTGCAAGTACAAAATAATGTGCCAAATGTTACCATGGGCATACAAGATGAGGTATCTGAGCTCAATCTAGGCAGTTCAGAGGATTAGGGAGAACAGTCCAGAGATACAGGATGTTTTTGTTTAGTTTTTCTTTTTGCCTAATGCTATTAAAACTTAAAAGGATAGAAATTGAGGAAAAACAAGCACTACTCTTTTACAAAGTGGATTATGAATTGACTCCATTTAATACAATGAACTGTTTATTGAGAATGTGGATTTGGTATTTAAAAAGAACCTGGCTCTTAAGGAGTTTATAAATCAAAGGTTGGATATGAGAACAACTACACCAGATTTTCAATATAAAGCAGAATTAAATGCATTCTGCCACAGAAATGCAAACGGCAGGCCATGGGGAAAAGATAGGAAGATTTTTAAGACTTCAGTAAAGGGGATTTTGCATTAAGCTGAGTTGGAGGTCAGTTGATGGAGGTCAGTTGGAGGCAAGATGATGAAGGATTTGTGTTGAAAAGGATCGTGCTGCCTGCTCTGCATAGCCGGTGTGGTCCTCGTCCGACATGCCTGAAACATGGAGTGCCTTCTGAGATGTGATGCAAAAGAGAGACTAAAGAGAGCATATGGCTACATGGAGCCCCATGCTTAGAGTTTGGGGTAAATCCCTAGACCATGGAGAGCCATTAAAAGTATTTGATGAGGGGTGTGATATAATTCAATATGAATTTTAGGGAGATAATTTCTGACACACAGAAAATGGAGAGTAACTGCCGAGTTTTGTAACTAGTGAAAGAGTTTAAGATTCCAAATTAAGATTATTGTTCTGAAGACTGAGAAGAAAGAGTTGCTCTATTGGAGGTAGTGGGTAGGTATTCTGTCAAGGGAATGATCGAACCATAATGGATTATTAAATCTATTACATTTTTTTTTTCAACGTTTATTTTATTTTTGGGACAGAGAGAGACAGAGCATGAACGGGGGAGGGGCAGAGAGAGAGGGAGACACAGACTCGGAAACAGGCTCCAGGCTCCGAGCCATCAGCCCAGAGCCTGACGCGGGGCTCGAACTCACGGACCGCGAGATCGTGACCTGGCTGAAGTCGGACGCTTAACCGACTGCGCCACCCAGGCGCCCCAAATCTATTACATTTTAGGGTGCATGTCGTGGGTGCTTTGATTTTCCGGCATGTATGGCTTATGAAGGATCCAGTACGGTGTGATATGTTCTCACATTGTTACCATACACAGTGCTGACATAATGATATAGAGAAAACTCATGATTGTACCTCCTTCTCTACTGATTCTTTTGCCTTACCATGAGGTAGACCCAGCGAAGGGGTGTGTGCTCCTCACTGTGTTTATTTGGAAAAAAAATATATTAATGTAAACATCTACTTTGGAGTCACAACAAATATTTTTAAAGGGATTTAGGAATCCATGCACTAAAGGTGAGCTTTGTGTGGTGATTAATGAATCAAGGTGTTGTTGTTATTGTTTAGATGAATCACAAGATCATGTTTACAAGGGTATTTGCAAATGAAATAGACATAACATTGTGAAGTTCTACTCTGCCCAAAATATGAGGACAAATATTTGTTTTTGAGTGTGGTTTTCATTTATTGTTAATTCCATTGCCATATGGTGGGACCATGGAATGCTTATCTATTTCTTTTTCTGCACAGAGGTTTTTGCTATGGAGAATAGTGCTTATTTAGTCTGCAATAGTCATTCACAAAGATCACGTGTACCTGTGTGTGTGTGTGCGCGCGCACATGCGCATGTGCGTTGCACACATGTTTTTTACCTAAGCGTGCCATTAAGTCATTCTGCACTTACAAGTTTTTCTTTGCTGAGGTTTTGTGTGGTTTCTTTGTTTTTGTTTGTTTTTTGTCTTCGTAGTAGAGGAGAATAGTAGTTTTTCCCTAATAGCGTGGGTTTCAGTCCACCTCTTAAGATTAGTATTAGCGCACACTGTTTCACAGAGTAAATGTCTGAATGCATCTGATAATCGGGTAGCCATCTTAACATTTCAAAGTTGGTCATCCACTTGTAACTACAGATGCTTACACGAACTTTGCAAGGACACTCGAAGCAATTTTCTGCTTGTGAATTCTGGCAGTGATTACAAGCCTAGTGATGCTCCAGAGAGAGGGGTGTGTGTGTGTGTGTGTGTGTGATGGTGGTAATAATTGTGGGTGGGGCGGGGGTGTAGACATCTGATCCTCTAATGATTAGAGAAACCAGAGATATGAATCATTTTTTCCTTTAAGTTCTTAACGCTGTCGGTTGACCATCAGCTCAGGATTTAATGTGTGGTATGTATTGAAAAGGAATGTGCCTTCTCTCCCTTACCTGGATACCGCAGGAGCATCGTACCCCCATGCCATGGAAACAGCAACTAGTTGACAGGAATCAGTTAAATGAATCGTCAGGGCTGGTTCTTCTATATATGGTAGTCCCTAATGAGACCTAGAGACATGGCAAGCCTTTGATTAAAGACACGACCTGTCTATCCCCTTGAGGGTCTCTGTGGTCACTGGATCATTCTCTGTTGTTTCACACCAAGGTCAGTGGGAGCGTATAGACTCTTCTAAATCTTGGAAGCAGGGATGCGGTGAGGAGGGGATAAAAAAGTAGCTGGGAGAAGTGCGTGGAGCTGTGGGGGTCCTTGAAGTGTCAGCAGCTTAAAACAACCTGTTTTCATCCATCATCAGCGCTTGTCTCGGGACTCCAGTTTTTTGGTCTGTGTTACTGAGTGTGGTGGAGCGTTTTGCTGTTCCAGAATGCCAAGGAAGGAGCCTTCTGCCAAGTATAGAGTGCGTTGACGGAAACCACGAGAAGCGCTCAACTTCTTTAAGACTTGGGGGTGATCAGGGTGGGGGTTGCATGCACCCCTCTTTCTCTGACTTGTCCTTTGGCTGCAGCTTTTGATGTGTCCACCGCACGGGACAGCAGTTCCTCTCTGGATGCAAGGTCTTATTGCCTAAAGTGGAGGTTGAGCCTTCCAGCAGCCCCTCTCCAAACCCCCCCCTCCCGATTTCATGATCCTGGTCGCAGTATCACCATGTGACCTCAGGCGACCCACTAGGCCTTTCTTGATCTCAGTGTCCTTATCCGTTACCAGGGAGAGTGAATCCATTCAATGTGAGCGTGAAATGAGTTCCCATGTAGAGAACATTAAGAAGAGTGCTCGACCCCTAGGAAGCACTCTGTAATTCAAACTACTGTGATTCCCAGCTTTCCTGAGAGAGAGAGAGAGAGAGAGAGAGAGAGAGAGATGGAATAGTAGCCCTGAGGATGACTTCAGAAAATTAAGCAATCCCCCATATTTCAAGAATGCAGCCTTTCCATATGGTGGGTACACATGTGGTACAGTGACCCGCCAGATAATTCCGCACTGAGCAGGGCTAAATTGTAACTTGCGCCAGTAATTAATTTTTTTGTATGAGTGAGTCCCGATATAAATTACAGAAACTAAAAGGTGAATCAGCTATTTACGTGTTCTGAAGCAGAGTATAAACACAGCTGTCACAATGTGGTAGATAGAAGAATCGCTTACAGAGACAGTGGTGCAAAAAAGCGATACCTTCGGCACCTACCGTGGCAGGAAGGAAACATACCATGGGCACAATTCCCTAAGTAGTTTCCCGCATCTTACATTTTTGAAAGGGTGCAAACACAGTTCTGGGCGGCAGTGAGAAGCCTCATTATTTGGTAAATTGGCTGTTTGCATTCATGTTAATCGAAGTCCAGATGATAGCGGTTCTAGGGGATGAAAGATTGTGGAGATGACAGATTGGGTCCTGTGTGTTGCGGGTTATGAAGTTCAGGAAAATGTGTAATTATGTCTGAGTTTCCTAAGGTTCTTCTGTTCAACATAATGTTCTGACATACAGTGGGGACGGTTCCGGATATGAAATGCAAATTAGTAGGTGCTGGCCGTGCTGCTGATGCCGGGGTTAATCATGCAAATCTAATGCAGTTCTTGGTATTTCAAGAAAGGTTTGAGCTGAAGTCGCAGGCACATACTGATTTAACATTCCTACTTCAGAGAGCAGTGTAATTTTTTTTTTCGGCTTCACATTTTGAAATATAGAACAGGATTTGGAGGCGGATTTAGTGGCTGGACATCCATCCATACTTGTTAATCATGAAAGGGGGTGGGAGGGAAGGGAACCCTTAAAGAATGTGGGGATTTCTAAGCAGATTACATATTTTATTAGATCGAAATTTACAAGTGTTCTGTAGCAAGTCCCTTTGCTTGGAATAAGATCAAATCAACCGATTACACAGGTTTACTGAATGCTCTGTTCAAAGAAGATGGTCAAAACTGGCAAGGACAGATCAAATAAAAATTAACACCACCACAAGTTCCTAACTTTGGGAATTCTAGGAAAAAAAATACCTTTGGAAATGAGACTGTTTACAGGAAGAAATGAAATTGTCTTGCTCACAAGTGCAAGCTGACGCATTCTAATAGCCTTTCTGCTGTGCACAATAAGCATCAGCTTATCTTTCCAAGAACAATAAAATTTCATGTACTGCTGCCTGACATAAGAATTATTTTTACCTATCTCCATATCGCTGACGCTCTTGTAAGTTAATCTCATCTCACATGAATTTTTCACCAGCTTCACTCTGATGTTGATAAAGGAGATGGTTCCATCAAATACATCTTGTCAGGCGAAGGGGCAAGTTCCATTTTCATTATTGATGAGAACACGGGGGATATCCATGCTACCAAGAGGCTGGACCGAGAGGAGCAGGCCTACTATACGCTGCGAGCCCAGGCGCTGGACAGGCTCACCAACAAGCCCGTGGAGCCCGAGTCCGAGTTTGTCATCAAGATTCAGGACATCAATGACAACGAGCCCAAGTTCTTGGATGGCCCATACACTGCAGGAGTTCCTGAAATGTCGCCTGTGGGTAAGTCAAGGCATGCTAGTCTTCAGTGTCTGGTCTTAGAGAGTTTGTATTAAAATCATACCATTGGGCGGCTCAGTCGGGTAAGCGTCTGACTTCGACTCAGGTCACAATCTCACAGGTCATGAGTTCGAGCCCCATGTTGGGCTCTTTGATGACAGCTCTGAGCCTGGAACATGCTTCGGATTCTGTGTCTCCCTCTCTCTCTGCCCCTCCCCTGCTCATGCTCTGTGTCTCTATCAAAAATAGATAACCATGAAAAAAATGAAAGAAAAATCAAATCATTGTAGGTACTGAAAAAAAAAATCACATTAGTATTGGTATAGCAGTTTCCAGGGAGAGTGAGGGGGAAGACTGAGATGTGTTAATAGCCAGTGCCTACATCTAATTATTCAAGTCATTATTTTATTTGGAAAATTATTTTTTTCCAAATAAATTTATTTGGAAAATTTTTTTGGAAAAATTTTTTTCCAAAAAAATTTATTTGGAAAATTAGTTTTTCCTTTCACACGGAGATCTCAAAATCTTCAGTAAATTATTCAAGCCTTGCCTTTTCCTTTCAAATGTAATATTTAACTTTAAAAAAGATTAAAATTACACCTAAGAAATTAAAAAAGAATATGCTTCCAGACTTTGCCCTGCGATAATCTCTTCTTTCTCCTGATTAATATTAATGATTCACTCTTCTGAGAATGCTTCTGTGGCCGAGGTATCAGGCAGGCCATCTAACGTTTAGGTCAGCTGGTCTACTTGCTTGTAGAGTGTGCTTGAACTCAAAAATGCCCCTCCGTATGCCACCACTAATTTTTTTTGTAATTTCTCCAGAAACTTAAATGTATGAAAATTTATGCTGAATAGATAATAATGGTAAAGCGATACTCTGTTTGAGATATGTAAGAGAGTCATGAAGTCTATTCTATTCGAAGGCCTTTTCACATTGCCCCATTACTGGAAAAATAGAAAGTAAAGTACTATCGGTATGTACTTTACTTACATCAGATAATATAATTTCAGTTTTAAACTATTTATTCAGATACCTTTGGAATATTTTTTAGCCGGTATGAAATTTTAGATGATCTCATAAAACAATAAAAAAAAAAAAAGATGGGAGCTTAAATAGACCAGTTGAGTTAGATATTTATTTCCTGTCATTTTCAGTTTTGAAATAAGACATGCATTTAAAGTAGTAATTTTAACATGTAAAAATTTTACCCATTGTGATTTGTTTCATTAAATAAGGGCCACTTTATTCATTCCAGCGTTCAGTCAACATGTCTACCATGGTAGTGGAAAAGATGTGTGTTATGTGTGCCCTTGAGGAGAATCACAATTTAGTGCCCCTAAATTTCTGTGTCTAGCAGATGGAAAGGGAAAATTATTTGGGGCACCATTGCTCTAGCTGCTAAAGAAATAGAAACTGAAAATGAGCCAGAGGAATACCATGTTCATGGTCAGGAAATATTCTGAACTACGACGGCAGGATCTCACCATAGTCAGCTTGCATGGAGGAACTTCTTTAACCAAACAGGCATATTCATACTTTCTCAGTACTGCCCACGTCTTCGGAGTGCTTCTTGCTGTTGCTTAACTGCACAGACAACTAGGACAACAGCAGCCACAACAAGATTTTGGAGGTTTTAGAGAAAAGAGAAGGCACATTGTCCTCTCCAAAGCACTAATGTTTGGAAAAACAGGAAGCTTTGAGGCGTGTGTAAGCAGTTCGGTTCAACTCTGTAATTTTCACGTTGACATGTTGGGCTTTCTTTGTTGGCTTGCTAAGGTTTTCCTTTGCTACATAGAATGTAGCCACGCAAACTGGATTAATGTGAACTTTTTTCTTTTAGAGGCTAAATAATGCACTGTAGTTTTGATTTCAGTGGTACCACTCTGATATCAAACAGCATGATTATCATGCGCACATGCAAGTTATTTTAGCTATTTGACTCCAACAGGTTCAGGGCCTTTTAGGAAATGATTTTTAGGTGTCTTCTGGATTTAATTGACATTAATTGGGACCACTAAAATAATATCGGAATTTAAACTAAGAACAGTAGATATCTACATTAAATATGTGGATCCAGAGTGAGTTGTAGTTTATCAAAGTGTTTAATTCTAACCAAATACTTATAAAAACCATTAAGTAATATGGCATATACAACACAAGCATTCATTGTTTAATATTCATGGGTGTGGTTTTCGATGGATGCTAATTTTAGATTGAAAACCTGCTAATAAGTCCTTAGGATAGTTCATCTTCTCCAGAAGAGCATAGATAAGCATGGACAATTAAAATTACTTAAAAGTATGTATACATGTGTGTTGGGTGTACATACATATGAGTTTATATATAAAGTAAGTTTCTTAGTGAACATTTTATTTATTTATTTTTTTTAATTTTTTTTTTTCAACGTTTATTTATTTTTGGGAGAGAGAGAGACAGAGCATGAACGGGGGAGGGGCAGAGAGAGAGGGAGACACAGAATCAGAAACAGGCTCCAGGCTCTGAGCCATCAGCCCAGAGCCCGACGCGGGGCTTGAACTCACGGACCACGAGATCGTGACCTGGCTGAAGTCGGACGCTTAACCGACTGCGCCACCCAGGCGCCCCTCTTAGTGAACATTTTAGAGAAAAAAAGTCATATACAACCAAATTTACCAAAATGGTTTTATTTTGTTTAGGCTCTTTCCCTTTCAAAAGAATTAGAAAATCAATACTTAAGCATATTACCAGAGTAAATATTGCTGTAAAGATGGTACAGTGTAGAGAAAATAGAGAATATCAAGGTCATTGGTTCTAACATTTTAAAATGATCTCAATTTAATTCTTAATATTTTTAAATATACATCATTCACTATTTGGTCCTGCCAGGCATCCACACAGCACAATCAACTAAGTCTGTCAAATTAAAAAAAAAAAAAAATCAGAATTTAAACAACAGTGCCATATACATAGCTTCTTAATATGCACCTTTTTTTTTTTAAAGGAAACGGGATTGTTCATGAAAATCATAGTGTTGAAAAGACAATAGATTTGTAACAAAATGGACACCAATGACTTTTTTAAAGGGCTTAGAGAGGGAAATCTATTTAGAAATATATCAAGATGAAATTTTAGATTAAAAAATATTTTCAAAACATTTGAAACAAACTGAGAAGAATACATAAAGAGATTTGCCCCATTGTCATCAATAGGACAGAAATGATAAAACAGCATGTGCTTAAATATATAAACTAAGTAAATGTGAGTGACGGTTTTAAGATTATACTCCAAATGGAAATAAAAAGAACAGATCGCAGTAAGTGCTTTGCATGTGGAGTAAGTGAATATATAGTAAAATGAGGAAGCCTCAAAGCATTCTATCACACACACACACACACACACACACACACACACACAACCCTGCTGATGCAATTTTTAAAGTTGCTGTGCTACGAATTTTCTTCTTGGGGCGTGTGGTTTGCATTTGATTTAATGCTTTTGTTTTTAAATCAATTCATGGAAACAATGAAAACTAAAGCTGAAGAGATGCCACCTAATATCCAGTTAAGTGCATCCATCAGAAATTGTTTATTCAGTGAGTGAAGTTTCCTTTTCTGCCTGGCTCTCCTCGGCTCTAACAGTGAGACCGCCTCAGCGACTTGGGTGTCAAGATGCTGTTACTTGTCACACTGCCTTCTGTATGGTAACTGAGACTTGGAGAGATTGCTTTTGATAAAAACTTGTTACCTGCCCCTGATGGATGAGAGGCCGAAAATTTGAGTCCCATCCAGTTCTGAGTATACTCGTAATGCGCATCATCAATCTTACTTTTTTGCTAACATATTTTTGTACCCCTTAGATATTTCTGAGGGCTTCATTAGCATTTATCATCGTTTTGGGTGTGTCATCTACAAACCACATGTCCATTTTTCATTTGCCTTGAAGTAAGAAAAAAAAAAAAGAAAAGAATTCAAAACAAATCTAATGGAGAATCTTCAGCAGTGTGTGGGTTCTTCTGTGTTGTGGCATTTGGAAATTTTTAATTCATTGGTTTTTTGGATTGGCATGTAGGGACCTCAGTGGTACAAGTGACAGCAACGGATGCTGATGATCCTACATATGGCAACAGTGCCCGAGTGGTCTACAGCATTCTGCAAGGACAGCCATACTTCTCAGTGGAACCAAAGACAGGTAAAAAGTGAAATGTGCCTCTTCGTGTAACGTCATCATTTATCTGTTGGCATAGAATTAATATTAGTGATTTTTTAAAAAAAACCCTGTTATTTATTTTTTATCTTGATTTATTTTTGAGAGGTGGGGGGCGGGACAGAGAGAGAGGGAGACACAGAATCCGAAGCAGGCTCCAGGGTCCGAACTGTCAGCACAGGGTCGGATGTGGGGCTCAAACTCACAAACTGTGAGATCATGACCCGAGCCGAAGTCGGATGCTTAACCAACACAGCCACCTGGGTGCCCCATTAGTTGTTTTTATGCGATATACTTGGTACTGATAACGGATGCTACGTTATTACTGGGCTTTTCTCAGTGGGTGTCCTGTGGTAAGAAACAGCCGATGATTTATAGTGGCATTAACATCTTTTAAGAATATTTTATTACATTTATCAGAATTTCTAGCAGAATTAAACAGAGTATTATATATTTAAAAAGTATTGCAGCTGCTGTCTCCTGACAAGAGAAGAAAATCTTGATTATTTATGTCACGTGTTATTTTTGTCTTGCCTCCTCTAACTCATTCACAAAGGAATCGCAGGCAGTTAAATTTAAATCTCAAGCAAAAATCTCCCTGCCAGGTAGTGGAGTAGGTAGTCGGTTCTGTTTATCTGTCTGGAGTCTGGTTTACTCAGGGAAATTAGTTTATGTTTTTATTTTTGTCAATATATGAAATTTATTGTCAAATTGGTTTCCATACCACACCCAGTGCTCGTCCCAACAGGCGCCCTCCTCAATACCCATCACCCGCCCTCCCGCCCTCCCACCCCCCATCAGCCTTCAGTTTGCTCTCAGTTTTTAAGAGTCTCTTATGCTTTGACTCTCTTCCACTCTAACCTCTTTTTTTTTTTCCTTCCCCTCCCCCATGGGTTCCTGTTAAGTTTTTCAGGATCCACATAAGAGTGAAAACATATGGTATCTGTCTTTCTCTGTATGGCTTATCAGGGAAATTAGTTTAAATGTAGCAATTCGGATGATGAGCTGCCCAATCAAAAATTAAGTTGATTCTTTTTTTTTTTTTTTTTAATTTTAAAAGAGAAACATATTTTTATGAGTTGCGAACCTGACTGTGGAATATGTGGTTGGTTGGCTAGGTGTTCTGTTTTGCTCTGGAGCTGGAATAATTTACATTAAGTAAGACCATAATTTGGAGCGCTGTTATCTTGGATAGAAAATAATGGTTTCTCTGTTCTGCTTTTCTGGCTCTGCGTGTTGGGGGTGGGGGGTGTGGAGATGGGTGGTTTGAGCCGATGATTTTCCTCACCACCATGAAATCCAGAATTTGTCCATGTTGTAACTGTTTTGTCTTCATCATGAAGAAAATTATTTTTCAAACAGCCAAGCTTATGATTAGGAATATTGGAGAGTACCTGTGACCTTCGATGCTGATTTGAATGCTACTCATACTGTGGTCCATATTTGTAAATGGTAATATTGATTCATTTTCAAATCAATGGATTTTGATTGATTTGAAAAGAGGATTGATTTGGAGGATCCATAGTGTAAGTGTCTTCTGAGAACGACAGGGGTAAGGTGCAGGAACAGAAAAATAAAATTCGATCCTAGCTCACCATTAGGATTTTTACAGAGACCGCGTTGCGTCTTTCATACCAATATGGTGGTAGAGTGTTGAAGCCACCTGGACAGTCTAACAGAGAAGAAACAGTTCTGATTAAGCAAGTATTGATGGAGAAGTAAACAAAAGTATTTGATTGGTGATATGAATCCTGTGACTATGGAATATGTGCTTAGATTTAACGATAGATCTGAGAAGCCTAAATTCACACACCCACCCATTCCCTTATATATCTACTCTTTACAAAGACATTGACAAGTTTCTGACAATTTGCTCACAAATTATACACTTCTGCATTATATAACCTGTCCAAAAATAGCAGGCACTAATCCCTAGGGTTCAATATTTTGCGGGAACTCTTGATTGGCCGGTGATTTTAGGTTTGTGGTAAGATAATAGTTTTTTTTCTGAAGTCCAGTGGAGGTAAGGCCTCTGATTAAGTGGACAATAGTCTGTGTCGTGGGATCACATGATTAGTACTTCAAATTAATTTTAATTTCAGAATCTCAAGGATCGTGTAGAGTAGGAGATGAATTTAGTTTAATTTTGTTTAGACTTTTTCATACTGTAATTATGGTAATCATTGGGACTTCTCTTTCTAGAGTCATTAGTGCAGAGAGATTCTGGGAATTTTTATCCTCTGCTAATTTCTCGTATGGATAGTGTATTATTTGCACAAATGTATTTTTTTTGACAGAAATGGAAAGTTTTCAATCCTTAAGGGCATGGAGATCTGTAAATGAAGTTTGACTTAGTCTTCATATTCGGTGTCAGTCTGATTTGTATCTATGTGTGAAATAATGTGATTCTTCTAAACCTTTAAATGGAAGAGTTTTTGAGAAGAAAGTAAAATGTTTGATAGGAAAACACTGAAAATATGCTAACTCCAGTATTTGTGAAAATAAGGCACAGAGCATCACTATTAGGTACATTTCTGTAAGTTTAACTTTGGTTTTCTCTTTTCTAATATTGACAATACCCACTACTGTTTATTAACCACACATCATGAACCTAGCATGGCTAAAACCTCCAGTCACATATTTCACCTGTCGCACTACTCACAACCCATGTGACCAGAGGGTAACTGTATTTTCTACCTTCATTTCTCCATCCATAAAACAAGAATGCAAGTAGCTGCAAAAGCCAACGTTAACAATTTGCTCTAACATGCTAAAGGAATGGCGCTAAGAGGAGGATAAGGCAGCCTTAAAAGGACTGTAGAGATGCCCATCCCCTGTCTCCGTGATGGCGACAAACTTCTAAGAAGGTTGTGGTCATTCTCAGGTGTTCATCTACTCTGTAACCTGCAAGCAAATAGATCCCGTGTTTCTGCCTATTTGATATGGGGCAGGACTGGCTACATAATTTGCAGTTCAAAATGGAAAAGCAGGTGCCGTCTTCTAAAATTAATAGGATTTCAAGATGTTATCAGCAGAGCAAGAAACCAAGCATGGGACCTGTGTGCCTGCAAAGGGCACGTGGCCAACGAGGCTGGCCCTGGAAAGTGGATTGAATGGGTAACGCCACTTGTCATTTAGGAGTTTCTTCTTAAACGTGAGAGGTGTAACTGCGTGATACGCACGTCATATGTGACATGCCTACTGGTTAAGTCATAATTTTACGCAAGTAATTTAGTCGTAATGAAGCCTGCCTCCCAAGTATGGCCTTTGACTGCGTTCCATTCTGTGGTGTGGCTCAAGGTGTGGAGGGCCCTCACTCCCATCAGGGCTTGCTGAGGACATCCTCTCACAGGTTGGAAGAGTCCATTCCTCAGCGACTCTTCATTTGAAGTTGGCTGCTTCAGAAGCTTCCATGTTTACTATCATTGGCTCTTCTCTGGCTTTTTTGGTTCTGTTTCACATGCTTCACTTATCGATAGACCAACCTAATATAAACAAGGCTTAGAGGCACAATTTAGGAAAGAGTGTAAACTAATAGGAAGAGATTCAGCAGGTACATCTAATGCGTCCCAGATCCGCACAGCCTGAAGCCCCGCAGCCCCGTGTCACCTGGGTCACGTGGTTGCCGAATCAACTGAGACCAGCCCAAGGCCTGAGTGTGCAGACGCCTGGCTTCAATGATTGTTTGGTTCTCTAAACTGGGGTCGATTTCAGAACCGGCTCTTATCTGTTACATTTAAGACATCTATAAATTCTTTAGAAGATTTCATGGTAAAAGAATATGCTTTAAAAAAACCAAAAATCATCAGTGGCTGGTAGGCAGAGAATCATCTGAAAATTTATTCCCAGACTCAAAAGCCAGAGAGATGTTCAGCAGTAATGAGGATAAATTTATGTTTCCTATGCCCAGTACTTTTTGTGACCATGGATTATAAACAAATGAAAAGTTCTGGGTGATTGGGTTAGACGATACATCTATAGAAAACTGATTATTTCAGGAAGCTTAACATCTGAGCTCATCTCTCTTTTGAAGAGCTACAGGATATATTCTCATCATAAGGGGCTTAAAATGACTGATTATTGAAATTAAATAATATTGTTGTCTTCCATGAAAATCTCACGGAGCTACAGGGATCTGGTTAGAAAAGACTAGCCTTTACAACTTCACAGTTACAGAGTGAACAATTTGCCGTATGTGTGTGTCCCTAATATATAGCAAAGTGCAAATCAACTCCAATGTATGAGAATTCTTTTCCAAATGTAGACAATTTTACTTAAAAGTAAAAAGCCAGCAAAAGTCATCGAACTGGAAATATATTTTGAATGTCCTGATGTAAATTCATTTCTCTCCCAATTATTCCAGTCTTGTCAAAAATATGCTTAATATTTGAGGTATTTGGAAATTACCTTTACTACCTGGATTACTCTGCAAACGTTGTGATGATTTTTGCTTTAGAAAAGTGCTATTTATAGGATTACATGTAAAGAAACAATTAGAGGTGTGAAAAATCAGTGAGTAACTTTGAATACCAGACTTTCTTAATAGTGCTATATTTCCTTACAAACATAATGCCACCAAGCAAAACCATGAAAGGATACAGTGTTCTCCTTGTTGAGTGGTTGAGATATTAAGGGCTCTCTCCACAACATAATAAAGGTGTGAGGACGAAAGTTCACTTGTACCTATTGATATTAGAAGGAAAAATAAGAGATGCGTAGAAATTAAAAAAAAAGAATGGGAAATGATTCTAAACATAACTCATTAATATTTTGTCATCTAATGATACACACTTAATGCTCCAGTATTCAAGATGGCCAATCCTCAATTTATTAGAAGAAAAAAAAAGGTTAGAAATAAATAAAGGATGATTAACATGAGAAACATAAGAAAGGAAAACAAAATGAAGAGGTTTAAGTTTAAGTCCCAGAACTCTTAGACAAAGATTATTTATGCTCATTATTACTGAGATCAGTGCTCACTGTTTTATGAATTGGGGTTAACATAAGTATTGAAGAACAAATATATAATATTCATAGAACCATGATGACACCAAGAAAAATATGTATTAGACACTTACCAACTGAACCAAATGACTGTTTCCTTCGATTTTCATGTCTCTTGGATATGTCATATATTAAACACAAGCAGTATGTAGAGAGCCAAAGACTTCAGTGAAGGAGTTACTTAAAGAGACCTTGTATTGCTGTGTTTGTAGCAGAGGTGCCCAATAAGAGAAAGTGGTTAATGTTTAAAAACAAAAGAAAACTGCCCAACTCAAAGAAGTGTAATCTAAGCACTTAAAATATGGATGTGCTGTTGATGTGTGTTTGTGTGGGGGGGATGTGTATTTGCTATCTAGTGCTCAGACTAAACAAAAGTATGGTTACTTAAGATAGTTTTAGTGCTGTTTAACTTGGAATCTTGGAACTGATAACAAATTGCTTAACTTTTAACTATACTATCGAAAAGTTTTTCTCATCTGTTTCCCATGCCTAGAACAGTTACCATACTGTAGAATATCATAAAGTATAGGGCAGGCCTAGTTTAGTGTCACCTAGGCTTATACTTCGTGCTAAAATATAACACAAACTGTATACGAAATATAACACATATATAAAATGTAACACGGCATTATTACATGTGTACGTTGAATTAGCAGCCTTTAAACTATTTAAATTGGCAGCCCTGAAAAAGTTATAAATTTGGAGAATATAACTTTTTGTGCTAACCATGAGGAAAGAAAGAACCTCCATCCCAATTTAAAGAGCTGTTTTCAGTTATTTTATTTCCAAAGAACCATCCTCCATCAAGCAACTTGGTATGAGAAGTGCAGAGTACCAGAGTTTGTCTTTGTCAGGTCTGAATCAGTGAGGATTTAAATTCTGACTTCCCCCTAAAAGGTAGATTCTGTTTAATAAAATACATTAGACATCTTTCAAGCTATGGTCCTACGTGGATTAGTAAGACAGTCTGTTGGAAACGATGAAATTGCAAGAAATCTTAAAGATGGCCTCATATTGCGAGTTTCAAGGTCTATATAGATCGTTTTTAAATAGGTTTTTTTGTTGATATCACCTTTGTGTACATGTACTAAGTATGTTAGGTATATAACACACATATAATTTGTATATTTACATATACATGATTAAACTAAATTCCACCCCATAATTAAATATTATTGCCTAACATACCTATGCAATAATTAAATAGTTATTAATATAAAACAACCAGTTCAGTGCAACAATGATTATTCTGTCAAGTTTCTCCACTGAGCATCATGAAACTCTGGAATCAATTTCTCATACATCCGAAGCCTTAAGTGTGGTCAATATTCAATGCAACTGATTAGAAGCAAATAACAACAAAACACATGAATGTTTTCAGTGTTGCTGATTTATATTAACATAGTTGTTCTCATCTTTGGTGCTTTGTCAGATCTTTAAGTATGGCATTAGATCATCCTGCATCATAACCACATCCACAAACATAGCCATAGGTTGAAATGGTGTTTTTGTTAATAAACGCAAATCATTCTCATTTTTTTCTTTGTAGACTATTTCAGTTCTTTTGCTCAAAGAGAGGTGGTAGGAACCATAGCTGAAAGGTTTTTGGTGATTTCATGTCACCTGTGAATGAAGTTGTTGGAGAGTGTGAAAGAGAAGAAAAGGAGAGTTTCGTGACCATGTACCTGTATGGGTAACTGCCTATCATTGTAGATAAGGACTTCATGTTACTTATTTATAAGTTGGTATTTCCTGAACCATATTTTCATAAAATCTAAACATCATCTCTCTCTCTCTCTCCAGTATCTAGAAGCCCTGCTTGTCCATGTTATAGTATTCTCTGTGTTTTGTAATATTGTGTATAATTATTGTACCCCCTGGTCTTTAATATGCGTTAAGATTATTTAAAATAAGCAAAACAACAAAAGGCAACAACTCAAGAGCAACTTGCTACCTCTGTCAGTGTTCTTTGCCAGTATAAATGCAATGATTCATGATGCGTTTTACTGGGATTTGAAATTTTACAGGAGTCATCAAGACCGCCCTTCCAAACATGGATAGAGAGGCTAAAGACCAGTATTTGCTTGTTATTCAGGCAAAGGATATGGTTGGTCAAAATGGAGGACTCTCAGGAACTACGTCAGTCACCGTGACCCTAACTGATGTCAACGATAACCCACCTCGCTTTCCTCGAAGTAAGCTGGTTTGTTAAATGTTCCAAGTCCCCTAATTTTCCTTGCCAGTCTATACAGATGTCTCTCAGAGGGAATTTTTCCAAATGCTTTTCAAACAAGTAATTATCTTATTACAGGGGCGTGGTTTTAATTCAGGAGTGTGGAAATCCTATCTTTATATTACTTCTGTCTTCAATATATTATGGTTTTTCTTTGGTTCACGTTTTTAATACCGGACAGTTACTAAGTTTGTTTATAGATTCATCTGTTCATTCTAAGATCTTCTTTGCACACATTCTGTAATTATGAGATTGTTGCCAATTAGTAACATTCAAATACATACATTCTGTACACTGACAGTATTGATTTATTTTTAAAGAGAAACATAGAAGAACATGCAGCATTTTCATTTTTTACTCTACGCTTTTTTTTTTTTTACCACTTCATGCACATTAAACATTCCTACAGCAATTCGACCACCTCTTTCTTGTGCAAACGTTCAGTGTTTCAAAAGTCAGTTCAAAGAACCAGAAAACCATATGGCCTCAATTTAGTTTCTATGACCAAAGTGGCTTTTGACTCAGCCAAAGAAAAGGAAAGAAAAAATCTAGGTAGATATGTCTTGATTATATAAAAGCATTTCATCTCAGTCACTTTTAGTTTTTTTTTTTCTTTTTTTTTGTGTGTGTGCAGTATTTCTTTACAACACTCAGGAAAATTAAGGAAATTGTATAGACTACAGTATCTCTAAAATGTTTGTTCTATAGAAGTGGGAAATTAAGCTCCCTTACAGATCTCAGAAACCAATAAACTCAAACAAGGAAGCTTTCTCTGTAAACATGAAGTTGCTATATTTTCCAGCAAATATTCCATCTGTGGATGTTTCATTTTTATTTTACACATTTTTCATATTTATATTATTGTACAACAGGCATTTTAAATTTTTTTAATGTTTGTTTGTTTGTTTATTTATTTTTGAGAGAGAGAGAGAGCATGAGGTGGAGAGGCACAGAGAGAGACACACACAGAATCAGAAGCAGGCTCCAGGCTCCAAGCTGTCAGCACAGAGCCCGACGCAGGGCTCAAACCCACGGACCATGAGATCATGACCTGAGCTGAAGTCGGATGCTCAACCAACTGAGCCACCCAGGCGCCCCTATACAACAGACATTTTAATGCCTCCACACAAAATAAAGTGAAATTACTTGAAATTCAGCATTCATAAAAAATGAGCTTACCCTTAATTGTGCCTTTGATACCTTATAATGGGAGAAGAGAGGAAGGTTTTGTAGAATAAACAAAACAATCATATAATTATATTGGGCTCACAATCAAATTAACTGTTCTTCTTTAAGCCTACAGTGATAAGAATTGATACTTAGAATTTGTGTTATTCCAGTTGTCATGATTGGATAAGACACAGTACAGGTTTTCTAGCTTACTCTAGATACTCTCCTGCTCATTAAAGTGAGGGAAGGCAAGAAGGGAAGGCTCAGATTTTCCGGACTGTCTGTAGCTAATATTCTAACCTTGAAATTTCTGGATTTTACTAAGGTCTCTTACGGATGTGTGAAAGAGATCACTTGAAAGTCATCAGCATCTCTTGTCATTATTATTATTTTTTTTTAATCAGTAACTTGTCACAAAATTTAGAAAATTGCCAACAATAGTAATTCTGAACTGAACACGTGGTCCCTTCATATGGATACATTTTCCTTTTTCAGTTCCTCTTGAAGAGAGTCTTTTCATAAGAAAGTGAAAATGCACCGTGTTTAACAACCAGAAGGGAATGGAATAGGTGGAAAAGGCAGGAAAAAATAGAAGATCAGGGAAAACTGTTTCTGAGGAGTTTTCTAGTTTCAAAGGGATGGTTCATGGTCATCTGCTTCCCAAACTTTTTTTTTTTTTTTTTGACTCTGAGGATGATGAAGAGGAATTTTTACAAATGAAAGTTTGAAAAGCTTCTCTGTTTTTGCTTCTCTTTCCTTTTGTTTGAATAATACGGCCTCTGCTCTTGTGCCATTGTGTTCCAAATCACTTCTACATAAACCCACACAGATGATCCTTCCTGATAAATCTATGAGCTAAAACAAGACCAATATTGTCTTTCATCAACTCCCTGGCCCAGTTTTCTGATACTTTCATAGTAACAGACACTGTGATGTAAATTCTAACAATAATTCATCGGTACTATTTAGACCTGTATTTGCCCATTGGAAGCCTAAGCTATACAATTTTTGTTTTTAATATTTACAGTAATTATATTTTAATTATGTCGATTCACTGGTTATCTAGTAATCTTCTTCATAATTGTTTTAAATATATTTTATTATTAAAAGAAGCGTATTTCCCACCACTAGAAAAACAGGAATCGAGATTCTTCTCACACCTTTCCTCAGACTGTTTCTGCTGTTATATAGTGATTATCTAACCATCACCATGAGATTTCTCGAGTCTCTATGAAACTCATCATTTATCTGATATTGCCTCAGCATCTTTTTTATGAACTATGAACACAAATTAAGCAAGGATGATGCAAAAGAACCAAATAGGTTTTATTGGTTAGCTTTTGTATAAAGTGTGTTCAATTCTTGATTTGAATTTCACAGGGTCTTACCAGTATAATGTCCCAGAATCATTGCCAGTGGCCTCTGTTGTGGCCAGAATCAAAGCAGCTGACGCAGATATAGGAGCTAATGCTGAAATGGAATACAAAATCGTGGATGGTGACGGATTAGGGATTTTCAAGATTTCTGTTGACAAAGATACACAGGAAGGAATCATTACTATACAGAAGGTAATATTTTCTTTATTCTTATTTTCTGGGAGGGTGACACCACGGAGCATACTAAGAACCATGTTTACTTTGATGGAATAATGTATTAGACAAAATGAATGGCCATATGGAAATATTGTTATGTTATCTTTAGGAAGAAAGCTATGCATTTACTTTTAGGTGTCAGAATCATAGAGAATCGCGAATGGCATTCATAATCATGCCCTGCAAGTCTGTTCTCTAAGTAAGAGGATAGACTTATCGTAGTTCTGTGACCGTAAGGCCCACTGGCACATTAACTGCAAACTGTCAGCACAAAGCCTGCCACCAGGTTTGAACTCACAAACCATGAGATCATGACCTGAGCTGAAGTCAGAGGCTTAACCAACTGAGCCACCCAGGCACCCCACAAATGTACTGTTTCAAATGTCCTAATGGAGAGGGGAAGATGTTTCTTTGTTGACTATTCCAGGAATGAAACCCTAAAATCAACCACAAGTCTTCGTTAGCAAACTAGACAAACACTCCATCTCTGTGAAAAAAAGTACAAACTTGGAAATAGCAACCAAAGTGTTGAAAACTTGCTACATTATCAGTTATTCCTTTTTAAAGTTTATGCTAATTGAAGTACTTAAAGAATTCATACAAACAGAGCATGAAAAGTTGTGAAGCCTATCATAATCCCTTAAGTATAAGTGCAGAGGAGATAGAAAATTATTATAATCCTAACTAAAGACTGTCATAGTATATTTAAATTAGCTCCCAACACTGATTAGATATGGGAGAAAATGAGCTGTTTACTCCCTTTGCTCTGTATAGACACGATCTTTGACAACTGTTAAATTAAAAAAAAGGGAAAAAGGAATTATTACAGAATATAGTCTTATTGTCTCAACTAAGTACTGAAAATTAAAACGTGAAAATCCCATCCCCCAAATAATGGAATTTTATGCCAGTCTGACAATCCAGGTGTATAACTCTGTAATTAACACTCCTGGATAATTAACACATGTCAATAAAGAAAGTTATATTTTAGTTGTTACCGGAAAACATATGTTTGATTTCAGGCCAATGGGCAAAACATTTCTGCAATTATTTCCAGTGGACAGCTGCTGTTTTAGCTCAGCTGGTGACAATCTGTGTAAAAAAGTTTTAATAACTAGGACAGGCCAACTGTTGGCAAAATGTTTTGTTGTCTAAAATAAAAGAAATGCAGTAAAGTACAGTGCTGCTCAGAGATTTCAAAGATTCAGCTGAAATATTCATCTGAAATCAGTCTGTTCATACTGAAAAATTTTTAATATATATTGAAATTATTTTTGTTGAACACGTGCATTTCATATATTATAAATAGAGCATAAATCATTGAAAAACATATGCACAAATATATATTTGATATTTGTTGCAGTAATAAAATTATGTCCAATTTCTTAATATTTTTTGAAGTTTTAGAGAATTGTTAATTCTGGTCACAGTCAAATAGGATACTTTTTTTGTTTTCTTTTTTAAATTTAAAGCTCTGAAGTCATTTCTAACTTCTCTTCTTTCTCCTTTTTGAGCCATATTAGCTCTTGGCTGTAGGTTTATTTGTATTTTTCTAGTCTTTAGCACTATCCTAAGGTTGGTTATCATTACTCACTCCAAAACTATTTTAAAAGCTCCTGAGCTCACAACCTGTTTCTAGCTTCTCAAATCCATCTTTTGTTTAAATTGCTGTTCAAAATTCAAAACCACTTTATTAGTCCAACTAGATTGAAAACAATCTCCCTTATACTAAGGAAATAGAGGAGAGTGATGCGACAAAGTGATAGGAGGCAGTAAAATAATCATTAAAGAGGTTATATATTTAGAAATTCCAAAGAATTCATTGAAGGATTTTTAGAATTAACAAGAGCTTTCAATATAAGAGCTACAGTAGTCAATTTCAGTGAAATTGGGGTCTGTATTTCATTCCAGGTAAAATGTTTCCAGAAGTTCCTCACAGGGAGCACAGTGAGCAAAAACCTGTATGAGTCCCATAAATTCAGTATTCTTTCTGTACTAGAGAGTAGTGAAATCATCTGTGAAATCCAGAATGGATTTTTGAAACTGAGTCACGAGAGCATTCTTACTAAAACCGGGAAATTCTGAAAGAAGACAAAGGAAGCATTCTTCCGTTGTTCTTAGACTATTTTAAAATCTTCATTTAGAAAAACAATAGAATGCTATGGGGAATCCATAAAAATGACTCTTTTTGCGATAGGTTTTTTAGTCTCTCCTAACTGTAGGAAAACATCTACAACCAGGTGCTGCTAGGATTTGATGTATGTATTTATTCTGATGATTGTGAACACCTCTAAAGATTATTTCACATTTGGACAACCGAGTCCCATTGTCTCCATTCAGATAGTCATTTCTTTTGGAATTAGGTTATTTTGTACCTGTGAACCGTGCTTCATAATCACCTGAACTTGTTTTCTCTCGACTCTGTAGTATAATAAAACTTCAGTTATTTGTTTTTTCATAAACAATGCACTGTCATAATTATAATGGGATTTATTCCAGTTTGAGAAGATTGTTGTCATATTTTGAGACATTTACATATGTTACACTTTGCACAGAGTGAACTTAAGAGCAGAGAGCGAAGAATAGGAAAACTGTCTTTTTAAAGAAGATACATTAGTAAAAGAGAAATATGTACAGAACTGTGGAAGATTACTTTAAGTTATGCTATTATTGCCCCCATGTCTTGTATAAAAAATGTTTATAAATAGGACCAAATAGGCAGAATCCACAAGGCTAAAGGTTTTTGTAGGTATTGCCACAGAATTAGTTTTCCGCAACTTAAATATTCCCTCTATACATTAGGAATAAACATGATTACATAGTTTAAGTGTTGTTTAAAAATTATGACAAAAATACAGTGATTCACAGTTAAAGTGCCGTACAAGCTGGTTCTTTGGCCATTTATGAATGATTTAATGATAACCTTGGCGAGCAGTTCTACAGGGCTTCAAAATTCACAAAGTGTCAACATAAATATTCCTCCATGTGAGTGAACACTGTTTTTTTTCCCCCACTTAGAAGTTCTTCTGCTTGCAGTCTCATATCCTAATTTACAGGGGGTGTCCTTTAGCTCTCTACTTTTCCTTTGAGATATGTCAGTCCTGTCTCTAAAGTACTTCAGTTTGCAATGCAAGACCTCAGCAGGGGTTAACGACGCAGTTTTGCTTTTCTAGTATTCATTACCATAGAGTCACAGTGCAGTAGAAAAGGATGTGTGTTCAAGACGCATTTCCTGTGAAGGACAAGTACACATTCCTCTCTGGCCAACAGATGGTGTTTGGTGGGTCACATGGTCACTGTCAAACAGCATATTTAAGCTGCTTCTGGCCGATTCTGTGCTATCTTCATAATCTCCTTATATTCATACCTTAAGAAATTCAGAATGACGCCAAAGCCACGAAATAATAAAGCATTACTGTAGAAGGATCCGTAAGGTGGCCCGCACCCATCCACCGCTGGGGAGAAAGAGTTCAAATACGCAGTTTCCTTCCAACCTTCAACTCGGCCGCAAGGATTTCTGAGCTCCCGGGTTTACCATCTTGTTATTGAAACGTGTCCTTTGTCGACTACTTGAAGTGCTGAGGGGCTAATCCCCAGAGTCAAGTTTGTATTTCAGCATTTTATATAAGGCTGTTTGTTGGTGTATAGTGGAGGAAACTGACAACATTCACAATTCTTCTTTTTTCTTATTATTACATTTTTCTTTCAAGGATCCAATTCAATTAATCCCGCTGTGGAGGCACGTTCCTCAAAACGGAACAAAGATGTTTCCCTTATTTGACCGTGAAAGGCACAAATTTGGAATTAAAGGCTGACTGTCATAAGGTTAATACAGTAACTCTAGTTGACTTCTGAATTTCAGGTTATATTTTCCAATTAATTCAACCCATTGTTACTGTATATATTTAAGTAGATCCTTCTGTCATTTTAATCATTATGCTCATGGGTGCATATGTATAGACTCTCTGCATATCATCGTATAAACTTACCTGTATGTGAATAGCCAAGAGTAGAGATAAATTTAAGGTCTTAAAAAGGAAGAAATTGACAGTCTCTGAAGGAAGTTGATAGTAATGTACATGTCAACGCATGATAGTCTTGATCAAAGAGGCAAAGGCCATGTTCGCTTGGGAGTATTTTCTGTTTGCTTTGATTTTTGATAGTTATCAGAGCAATGTTCTTGGAATATATGTATGTCAAAGACATTTTTCAGTGAGTCCATCACTATTTTTTTTTTTTTTTTTTTTTTTTTTTTTTTTTTTTTTTTTTTTGCTTAGTATAAACAAGTCACAGATAATGTACAAACTTTTCCTTTACTTCTGTCTCTTTTTCCACGGTGTGTTGTATCCTAAATTAGCTTCAGTGGGTAGGCTTCCAAGAAAGAGATATTTAAGAAAGAGATAAGAAAGGATTTAGTGATTGTGTAAGAAAATTGGAGAGAGAATTTAAGGAGAAAACTAATGTTTCTAGCATGAGTAACTGGGTAAGTGTGTCCTTGAATAGGGGTGTGCAAATGATTAATATGGTTTGGAATACACATGAAGCGCCTATGATATCTGGATAATAATGTCTAGGAGGTCATGAATAAGGATTTGCAGCTTAAGGCAGAGGCCTGGAGTACAAACTTAGGTCTGGGAGGCATTACCATATGCATGACAATTACAATTTAAAGGGACACTGGAGAATTCCCTAAAGCATGTATGGAAAGTAAGGGAAAGAGGTGCCTGGCTGATCTCAGGGTTGTGAGTTCAAGTCCCACAGTGGGCATAGAGCTTAGTTAAAAAAATAAATGAATCAAGTGAGGGAAAGAATGCTTTAGACACTAGTGAAAATGAAAACTTTAAGTTAGAAGGGCAGAGAAGAATTCAAAAAAGGGAAATTGTTTTATTCTTCCAGCATTAAGGTATTTGCAGAGAGTTTAAAAATAAGTAGTCAAAAAGCAAATTAAATACATATATATATATACATATATGTAT